CATTGACCAGAGGGACTTGGAGATTTTTGACCATTGATATGAGAAGACTAATAGTCAGATGTGTGGAATCAAACATTTTGTTGGATTGTGTGGTTAAGTCATGCACACTGAAACTCCTGAGGCTGACGCGACTTCCTAAAACAGTTCACATTTTAATCTGAAGTATTTAAAAAAAACTAGTCAAGGACCCTGTTGAAAAATGACATTTAACCACGTGCATTATAAGATATCAAGGATATCATTCTTTAATTTCTGAAGTCTAGCAAAATTGGAACTTTAATTACCACACAAATTGTGAATGGACTTTGTAGGAGAAAGAGGATGGATTCTTGTAAAGGCCCCCTCTCCCCAGTTCCCTGTTTGGGGAATGACGTTTGCCTCCCAATCTGACTTGTCAAGTTTATTTTATGGAGGCCCTTTTTCTGCCACCAGCTCTGGTGCCCCAATTCCACAGCAGCCTGGTTCCACTGGTAGTACCCTTGGTTATAGCATTGTTTGTCAGGAGAAATGATGGGGCTATTCAGAAAAGGCCTGGAGACCTTTCCTGCCCTGCCCATTGTAAGCAACTGAAAACTTCTGTGTATTCAGATCAAGGTGTGGGTGTGATTTAGCCTAATTTATTGACTTGCAAGGGAAGAGAATCAATTTGGTAAGATGGAGCACTGATGTCTATGGCCTCACTACTCCACCTTCCATAAACAAACCTCTTGACTTAAAACTCTGGGGACCAGTGACTGTTCAAGTAGAACTAAAGGCAAAGTGAGGAAAGATTTAGGGAGAGGGGAGTCAAGTGGAAGAAAGGCACATGAAGAGTAGGACAAAGGAGTGCTCCCAAACACTGTAACTAAGCCCACTAACGACCAATTAGAAATCCACTTGTGGGTTAAAGTAATTTAGGATTTTTGTCTAACTTTAGATTTCATGTTTGACTTTGTCTTGTGTTTATTTAAACTTTGTTTTTAAATAGTTTATTAAAATGAAAAACAGTTTTCAATCTTGTTACAGAAATATTTAATTTTATAAACTTCATCCTGCAAACCCAGTCTAAGATTTGTCTACCTGTGTTCTAGGCAGTGAAATGGGACTTGATATCTAAAGTGACTCTGCATTACTATGAAATAAAGAGAATTAGTAGCATATTTACTCTAGAAATCATAAACTGAGCTCCAGTCCAGCACTGGGCTGAGGACTTTGTAGAGTTGTCTTTATCATTGTTGAACACCAGCCACTGATCGGAGTATACAAAATGATATGTTTCAATGAATTTCCATTTTAAATGGTCAAAATAATTGACACCAAATGACCAGGATTTGCTGGATAAGGTGGTATTGTAGAAGACAAGCAGGTATTGTTGGAGCAAGTACAGTAAGAACTAGATAATCTTTGTCTTCAGGAGAAACAATTGGATATAAGGTTTTAATTACTAAACATGTTAGAAGGGTTGGATTGTTTAATCATGGAGAAGTTTTTTTTTCCATCAGCCTGCCTATGAACAGACACTGTGGCTGCCTCCCTTCATATAATTCTCCACTGCTATAAAAATGCTTACACAAGTATTTCTTCGCCCTTGTTTGTTTTTTAAAAATCTGCATTCCATGGGCTAGGAAAGATGGAATTTCTCTTCAGCAGTCAATGCAAGAGTGAAAAAATTAAGCCCTTTATACAAGTCTTTGACCTCTTGGGCCCTCCATGTGACTTTTGCATTATGCCTTTGTGATGGCAGGTAAGTTAGCAGTTCAGAAGGTGATGGCCATTTGCTAAGTAAAATGTCATCTTAGAAAAGTATATTTCCATTTTTTTTTTTTGCCATCAACTTTCTCCTACCAGATTAATTCACTAGTCCTACTTTACACACTGAATTCTGATGACAGCTAAGTCTGAATTTGGAAGGCAGAGCAAGATTACTTTCACTAGCTGAAGTTGTTACTATGAAAAAAAAAGATACGGTGTGGGCTTGTTTATCCTCAATGATTTTCGATATCAGTATACATTGATCCAAACAGTCAGTCACTCATTCTGTAATCCACATTTAGCTGCCACTATTGGTGCTTCATTCTAGCTCACTCTTCAGTATTAAACATGTAACTGTCACATTCAGTGTACTGGTGCTTTGTGATATACTGACGGGGTACAAGGTGAGGATATGGAAGAAAGATGAATGGTGCCATACTAAAGTTGCTTTAATCTAAGAATCTGAAATATGATATGAAGTACCTTTTAAAACTGCATAACCCACTCATCCTATAACCTATGTGGTCCAGACTCTAGGTGTTTGCTATATTGGCAACATCATCATTAATGGAAGCAGAGTAACTGTGTTATTCAATAGTCGAAGCTATGTTGCCTTTACATTAAACTAGTGTGACAAATCAAGATTAAAAAAGAACATAACCTACATGGAGGCCAGAATCTGTGCCCTGCAACTGTTGAGCAGTAGGTGCTGTTGTCACGGCCATTCAGAGTGCCATCAGCAGCAGGGGGATTGCAGAATAAGAATTTGAGTAGAGAAGGGAGAATTCAAACATACCTGCTTAATGTATTGACAAAAACAAATTTCCTATTACTAGCACTGGCACTATATTGATAGTTGATCTAGTGCATTGACTGTTTAAGTTACATATTTCATACATTTAAATATAGGAAAGGTTTATTGTTAAACTACATTGTGCAAATGCATTTTGCTATGTTTACTATAGTGTATGTGTACTGCAGGCTACTGCCCCAGTCACAATATGGCAGTAATATCAAGGTTGCAGTGACTTATTTGTAAGACAAAGCCATGGAATGTCCTTGCTGGTGGGGGAACCTTTCCACTCCCTCCACAATGAAATAATCAGTGGTAGATGTCAGTTCATATTTTATTGATGCTTTTTTATTTAATCCCATGCTTTAGGTTATAAATGCATAACTATTTTAACCACTTCTCATAAAATCAAATATTGTGTACCAATGATTTTACTTTTCATGTACCTTAGCATTCTTCCACATCAAATGAGCTCTTGCATACTTCAGTTGCTGTGTGTAGTGCACATACTACTGCCATGTATCCAGCTCTTTGGGAAGAAACATATCTACTGTCTAAGAACCTAACACCTTCACCAACAATTCAGGACAGAAGAATATTGTATCCCAGTGTTTTTCTAACTCATCTGTAGTTAGATGACTTCTTAAAACAAGAAATGTGCACTGCCTAACCTCCCACTCTATTTCCTCTCTCTGGTGAGGGAGGGTGGCTGTACTTTAAGAATTACTGCTATAGCCTGGTGAAATGCCAGAGGAAGTGCAGGTAGAATGTACTCAGATTGCAATTGGGCCAGATCTGCTAGGGTTAATGTGCTACCTCCTATGCAAAATGCTATTGTTCAAAAGGTCACTGCTGCTTAAAGCCTTGAGTTCATCTTATCCAAAGGACAGCTCTTCCAGTACCACAGGGCTCCCTAATAGGAGATTGAGGCAGTCATTCAAGAATGACACAGAGAAGAGCTGGCACTGGACCATTTTCTGTAGCTCCAGTCCCTTTATTCTACAGGTTGGGCTGTGTTCAAAAGCATTTCTGAAGCAGTTTCAGGTAATGCAGTTTTGCCAGCCTGTGTACAACTTCTTTCCTTTAAACTAATTAAACTGCTCATGCCAAAGGCTGTGCCTACCCTAGACTTTTCATTTCAACTTCCCCACTCTGGAGGAGGAAATTTCATTCTTATCCAGCAGTCCTGCTCCACCAGCTGTGGCAGCCCAGGTGGGCTATTGACTAGCTGCCAGCATTTTAACACTATCTAGAACAGGCCTGCACAACATGCGGCCCATGTGGGCTCACTGTGTGGCCCGCGGGGGGTGAGTAGGCAAGCCACGGGTGAGGGAGGGGGGCTGAGGAGGCAAGCAAGCAGGCAGTGGCGAGGGGGCAGGTGAGCCAGCGATGGGGGAGGGGAGCTGAGGAGGCGAGTGGTGAGTCAGTAGTTGACCTGTTCTACTGATCTGGTCTGGCTCCCATCCCCTCTCCAAGGGTTGCAGCTGTCTGGAGGTGCCTGCCTTCCACGACTTCCTCATTCACACCTCATTCATTCAACAGGGCAATTGATTACAAAGTGGGGGGAAGATCTTATTCTACTTCTAGCAAAAAGACAGTTTTCTTTTACCTTAATTATACTACATTAGGGGCCCGCTATAACACATTACCAAGGTTCAATACCGCTGTTTCGGTGGGGCGATGCTGTGGGGGGGGGTTGTTTTGGGGGGGCTGGGCGGTGCTGGGGGGGTTTCGGCAGCACTGGAGGTGTTTCCACGAGGCGGGCGGCACTGGGTGTGTGTGTTGTGTTTCAGGGGGGCTGGGTGGCGCTGGGGGGGGGTGTTCAGCGGGGCTGGGGTGTTTCGGCCCTCAGCTGTTTTCTCTGGAGTAATATGGCCCTCGCCGCTTTACGAGTTGAACAATTGGTCCTTAAAACGTGAGTGGCTAGTCTATACAAGTGTGTGTCTCTCTTCCCCCATCCACACCCTCCGTAACATTTTTAAGTAGTGTAGACAAGGCCTTGTCTATCCAGGTGCCGATCCAGCCCCATTGTGCCCAGCCCAGGTGTCGGGGAGTCATTAATTACCTACACTGTAGGGACTATGCTGACAGCAGAGTTGAGCGCTAAGGCTTGCCCTGGTGACCTCACAAAGGCTCCCTGGGTGACTGGGTGGTTGTAATCCCCTGGACCTCGCAGTGCTGTTTGGGGCTAGATGAGAAGCAAGAGATTGAGGAGAAGCTCGAGAGCAGAGGCGGCCGGGAAGCTCGGGCGTGCGGCCGCAGGGAAGTGGACTAGCTGTGCTATGTAGTTCACTTAGTACCGTTCTCACCTGCTGCAGCGAATCCGGCTTCCGGCTGGGGCTAGCCCTGTCCCTGGAGCTTATAGGAACTTTCTCCGAAACACGCCCTTGGAGGGGCTGCTATTAAAGCGGCTCTCGGCCCCAGAGCTTCTGCTGGGGGGGAGAGACAGCGGCTCTAGCTCCAGCCCGCCGCAAGGATGTCGCCTCCCGTGACTCCGCCCACCAAGAAGTGCATCTGCCAGCTGTGCTCCTGCGGGTATGTAAGAGAGCCGGCCGGACTGGCAGCTTCAGGGCAGGACCCTGCTGTGCTGCTGCCATAGGAGCCCGTGGGCATTTAGCCGCTCTTATCTAGGAGTAGTATCGCCCCCCCCCCCAAATCAGAGGGTCTCTAGGATGGATTTTGCTTAGATGTTAAATTCCACTGGGCCTGGGGCACGTGTGACTGCAACTGGTAGGTAGTGCCCCAGTTGCTAAGACTTCACGAGGGGGGATGAGTAAAGGGAAGAGGGCGAGAGAGAGGAGTTTGAGTGGATTTAAATCTTTTCTGAAATAGTCTTATTAAAATATACAGGGATGTAACTTTTCTGTGTTGTATCTATCTGCGACTGTATCACTCCATTATTTGTAGCTTGTTTTGTTTTCTATTTATTGTAAAATCTTCATTCTAACTGTTCATTATTTATTTCTAAACTTTCTTGTAGGTAATTGAAATGTGCCCCCAATAAGAGAGCTTTAAATTTCTTGGCTAGAGCCATTCTGGGGGACTGGTATCATTGTTACAAGTCTTTGCTTTCCTGTAGTGAAAAACGATAGTGCTTCTAAATGTGTTTATTCCACAGGGTATGCAGGGTGAGAACGGTAGAAATGGAGCAGACATCTAAATATAACACTGTTCATTCCTCACTTTTTAAATTTCAGTTCTCCAGTGGCTGCTTGTTCACAGCAGTGGTCCAGAAATAACCAGATCTCCTTTTTCATAGGATCCATCCTCCCAAATCTGCAGAGGAAAGAATAAGATTATCAATCAAAACACTCTTTCTGGTTGCAGCTCAATTCCGATAGTCACCATAGATTTAAGACTATAAAACACATCTAACTTCCCCTCAAGGCAAAGGAAAGCTCTGAATAATAAATGAGGGGAAATAAAAATACTATAGTTCATAAATTTATGTGAAAGTTATCCTGAGATTATTCTATGTTCCAACTTGCTTGGGCTTGTTAGTGAAAAGAATTCTGCTAACACACTTTTGTATTTCAACTATGACAATAGATACATTTTTGCAAAATGTCTTTCTTTATTGTTCTCGCTTATGGTCTGTCTAATGTCTGTCAACAATTTAAATTATATTATGTTAATTATTTTTTTCATTTTATATTTATATTACGGTAGAAACTAAAAGGTCACAACCAGGTTGGGCCCCATTGTGCTAGGCCAGGGGTCGGCAACCTTTCAGAAGTGGTGTGCCGAGTCTTCATTTATTCACTCTGATTTAAGGTTTCGCGTGCCGGTAATACATTTTAACGTTTTTAGAAGGTCTCTTTCTATAAGTCTATAATATATAACTAAACTATTGTTGTATGTAAAGTAAATAAGGTTTTTAAAATGTTTAAGAAGCTTCATTTAAAATTAAATTAAAATGCAGAGCCCCCCCGGACTGGTGGCCAGGACCCGGGCAGTGTGAGTGCCACTGAAAATCAGCTTGTGTGCTGTCTTTGGCACGCGTGCCATAGGTTGCCTACCCCATGCCAGGTGCTGTACAAACATAATAAATGACCATCTCTGTTCTTAAGAATATAAAATCTAATATAATTGTATTAATCTAATCTACCTGTCCAAGTACTTGTATCAAACTCATTGTAATATATGAGCATCTGTGTTCATTCCTTTCATCTTTCTAGCTCTTTTTTTTTTTTAATTTTATTTTATATATTTTTTTTATCTATGTTGATAACTCCACATTTGGCTCTGTCTGGGAAATGTAACTGAGACTTCAAGCAATGGTGTAGCTCTCAGACTGACATTGTACTTGGGATGTGGTGATGGAGCTAAGTTTCTAGCTTTATGGACTGGATCCACCAAGATGTTGTGCATTTTGTCCCCAACAGAGCAAAGTACTTGAGCGCACAGTTATCTTCAAGCATGTGACTAATCTCATTGAAGTCAATGGAACTACTCACATGCTTTAAGTTAAGCATGTGGGTGTCTTGCTGGATTCGGGCCTATTTTGGCAAAATCTTTGCCATGGTCTTTGGTACATTTATCTTTTGATGGCAATGAGCTAAGAGTGTTGAACATCCGAAGATGTTTCCACCTGAGTTGTGAAGCTCAGGTATGAGATTAAGGCTGTATATTTGGCTCTGAGGGTGAAATGGCTGTTCACTTCTGGAACCCTTTTACCGCTTGCTGACTTGTGGAGTTGTCAGTGCTGTAGGCAGTTACTTGCCCGCCCCTCAGTTTAATGAGGTGTGCAGCAATCTTGTTTTAGCTAAACTAATGTAAAGTGTTTTTATAATTATGCAAATTACTATTGGCATTTACCCAGTAATAAGCAATGTTCTCACTTACTGAGGATTGCGGTGACTTTTGTCCCTAATGGCCAATAAGAGTTTAAAAGTCAGTCTTGCTGTATCTTTTTCAGAATTAAAATTGAACCCGAAACAATGCACTCTGCTCCTCTTGGGCAAAGACTGCCTCATGTTGCTTAACTGAACAATTTAAAGAGGTGGCATGGGTAAGCCCCCAAAAGATTCTTGCCAAGATGTTGGCTGGTGGATATAGATAGTGTTGCACACACCTTTGTGCATCTTACTCTGAAAATCAGACCATTAGTGTCCAAAGCTATATCCCACTGCAGAACTGTCATGACTATGTCACAGCCCAGATTTGCCCACCTTTAGCATGCTGGTGTAAAAAGGACCATTTTATTTACCTCTCATAGTTTCCCCCAAACATCAGAAAGCTGTTCTTACATTCCCTCCTCACCAAAGGGGATAAGCATTGTCACCAGCTCTCACAATGAGCTGGTGCAGACCGATAGCAGCAAACATGGACACCAGTGAAGTCTTCTGGGCTGCTGCCTCCCACTGAGACGAGGAGTGAGGGCTGCTTCTCTTCTTCCTGGAGACAGCAAGGGGTGAACCAACCCCTTTTCTTTCTGAGGAGGTCTTGTGAGGAGATCTTCCTCTGTGCTCCTCAGAGGAGTGATGCCTGTCACTGCTCACAGCCACAGAGGCAGGAGCAGGCAGCACCCTGGAGATTAAAGCCATTGTTGGGACACTTTTCATAGAGGACTCTCAAAATTTAAACTTTTTGGGGGGGGGAGGGGGCAACATCACACCTGATCCCCCTTGTACAGAACAAAAACTAACCCAGAAAAAGCTAAAACTTCCTAAAAGCGCCATACTAACCACTATGGTAAATACCTCATCTAAATCAGTAATTAACCATTTACAAAACTGTAATAAAATTTGCATTTGGAAAAAAGAGTGGACACTGCTATCTGGCTCCATCTCACAGCCAGGAGTGGTTAAAAGGAACTGAGGGTCAGTTGATTGCTCTGCCCCCTTGCTACCCTCAAAGGGCTAAGGGCTCTGTGTCATCAGGGGAGCAGGTGCTACCAGTGGGCACTGCTGGCTCTCCGGTGGTGCATGCGCACCGGAAGTGGAACGCATGTAAACAAGTACTCAAAGCAGAAAAGGTGGCTACTGTGTCCTTAAGAATGATTATAAGGAGAACACAAATAGAGTTGTATTCTGTCTTCATTCCTCATCCAGAACTTCCATTAATGCCAATGGGATTTGTGCATGCAGTTTGAGGGAAGTATATGGCCCTTAAGGGAAACAAGTTATACATACTTCTGCACTGTCTTGTTACAGTGCTCATCTGGACACAGGGAAGATATGATTTTTCTTTAACCAGCAGGGGGAGTCAAAGGACATTTTTGAAGCTCTAAGAAGCTATGTTCAATTTTGTTAGCACTTTCAGAGGGTAAGAAAGGAATCTCATTTGATCTAGTTCTAGTATAATGAGTGAATTGCTGGGATGTTGATCCCATTTGGCTTCCCCATATTTTCTAAAAATTGTAATGATGCTCAGCACTCATCTAACACATTGTATCTGGGAATCCTACCCAAACATCTGCTAATTAATTATAAATAGTATTTATGAATGGTTTTAGATCTAGGGTATATCTTTTATTCCTTTAGGGGCAAACCCAGACCCCCCCCCCCCAATGAGTTCATGAGATCTGAAAAAATGGTGGAATGGCATAGATTCTGTTGCCTGGAGCATGTGGGAGATGATGCTGGGGTTCTGTCAGGGTCTGTGTGCCATGGATCAGTGCTCCATGTTGGTTCTCTGTGCAGTACCACAGTGAGGAGGGGGTTTGGGGAAGGGAGCATGGTCAGTGAGTTCACAGCTATGTGGATTGTGATAGGGCCCACACTGCATCAGGGCAGGGAGTAGAGAAATACTGGGCTAGGGAGGCATCGTCCCTCGGTGGAAGGCTTGCTCTCTGTGGAGGAACAGTTTAAAAGAACACTGGTAGCCCAGGAGAAGGGAGGAATTAGCTCTATATGGCACAAAAAAGCAAGACTGATGCTGAGCGCTGTGCAGGGAGTGGCAATGGCTTTGTGAAGCCTGCTCTAGCAGCAGGGACTTGGGTCCCCGCGCCATTCGGAGTCGAAGGCCCTGAGAGAGAGAGAGGGACCGACTGAATTGGATGCTAAGAAACTGAGGAGAGCCTACTAAGCCTGTGGCCATGTGCCAAACTGAGGCACTCCAGACTAGTAGGAAGTCACCTAGGGGAAACATAATTTTGGGGTAGCTCAGCGACTGAGCTGGACACTTTGAGAGACCCTTAAGGCCCTGGGGTCAGGGCCCAGTGGAGTGGTTGGGCCTGGGTCCCCCTACCTTGCTTTCCCCCATTGCCCCCAAGCTCCTTTGGTCCCTCAGAGCTTGGTTACTACAATCAGAGCACCAGGGGGTGAATGAGGCTGCAGCTGGGGTCCCCTCTGGATGCCTAGAGTGGCAGAAACAGTAAGGCCATGAGCTGACCACTAGGCCAGCTGGCCACCAGACCTTCCTTCTACTGGATCCACTGGCAAAAATACCGCCTGTAAGGAGGGCTTAGGGACGAGCTGCTGTGGATCAGCCAGCTTGATGCTCTGTGACCTGAATGAAAAGTTCTGTTTTCCTTCTCCCTTGAGTATCTTGTGCAAAAACTATTTACTCTCATGAGAGCAACATTTGGCCCT